CTCGCCCCCCGCCCCCATCAAGCTTGTTTTTTCTAGTACAATCTTGTGTACATAACATTGCACTGTCTAAAAAAAGGAAAAATATCCTGTGTATTAGAAGCAGGGTGGTAACAGAGTACTGTGGACTTCCAAACAGAGTTTGAGGTGAGTCATAAACAAGTTTTGTTTTTATTTTTATTTTTTTACAGGGACTGTTGTCTGTGAGGCGCCTAACAACAAATTAGATAAATTCACAGGAGTTCTCTCTTGGAAGGACAGCAAGCACTCCCTCAACAATGAGAAGATAATCCTGAGGGGTTGCATCCTGAGAAACACCAGCTGGTGTTTCGGAATGGTTATATTTGCAGGTACAGATGACTGCCCGGAGTTGGCTATGGGGGAGTCCTTCCTGAGGTATGCATGGGCAGTCTGCATCTCTCCAGGTTGGATGAGCATGGTGCATCTGTTCCACACAAGGTGCTGCTCTGGGTTGACGGCAGAGGACAGCATCACTGCTCTGGAAATAGTCTGGGTGGCCCCCCTGTGTGAGCAGCCACTGACATCATGATCTTATTCTTAAGGGGTGCTTGGGCCCTCATTGCTTGGTGGGTGCTAGATCCCCAGTGTTTAATTTCTCTTTCTTTATCTTCACCTCAGTCATGCCCATCCTTGTGTGTATTAATCAACTTTAAAGTGGGGGAAGTAGATGAAACAAAGCCCCCCACCCCTCTCTGCTGTTAATTTTGTAGTTTGCAAAGGTCAGGTAATCCTTTTGGAAAAGGTTTCTTGGAGATACTGCAATCATTTCTGTTTATACTCTGTAGCTTCTTCTATTATTTGTCAGCAGGCAGTGGATCCTGGAAAGACTACATGATGGAGGCAGTGAGGGAGGGAAAGTGCCTCTTATTCTTCCTGCTGGCCACTTTCTGCATCTCTACTTTATCTCTACAGGCCCAAGGTGGCATTCTCCTGCTAAGGGAGCTTACAGTAGCTCCACTACATAAAGCCACTCAAATTGTACTCATGGCATCAATTGCCAGCCCTGGATTTTTAAAAATCCTGTTTATTATGACACCGAAATAAGACGTGTTTTTGGGTCTGTTGACTATGTGCAATCAAAATTGGAATGTTTTTCTTAACTGACTTTCCTCAACAACAACAAATGTTTATTAAAGACTCAAAAGTGTTCCAAACCTGGAAAAGGCCTCCCAATTCCTCCTAAATACTTTCAGCTGTGGATTTTAGTAAGGCTCTTGCTGCTTGGGGTATTGCCATTGTACGGACTTGAGAAATCCCTAGAAATATGGCAGTATATGTTCTTTTATCTGGGGATGAATCTGCTTTCATAATTCTCTCATCAGATGCTTTCATTCATTAGTCAGGGGAATAAACCTGTGACCACATATTTTCTTATTTGCATCTCTCTTGCATTGAAAAAAGAGGCTTATATCAACCTTCCTTTATCTTCCCACACAATGAAGGGGAGACTTCTTGAAGGTCCTTTCATGGGAAGGACCCTTCTGGTCTGCTTCCTGTCATCATAGAAATTGAGGAGCTTTATCCTAGGAATGGGCTATAGCCCAACATTTTGTTTGCATTTTTGTGAACTTGTTTGGAATGACTGAGCTATGGTTCAGCTACAGCATGTTATGCTAGGACAGCTGCTGTGAGCCAATCAGAAGCCAAGTTTTCCTCCATAAGGTTTGCTCTATGGGAAAATGTGCATACCTAGGAGGAAGAGGGGTAGTAAGTTGAACAGGTCTCCCTCCAAGCAGGTATAATAAAGAGCTCACAGAATTTGGACTGGACAGAGCTGGGTTCAGATTTGTTTACCAGCTGCAGGATGTTAAGCCTTGGTTACTTAAACTTCCTAAGCTTTAGTTCCTTCAGCTGTAACATGGGGATAATGAATACATTAGAGTCACTCTACAGGCTCAGCAAGACAATGCATATGGAAGAGGATGCTTGATAAATGTTAGTTTTCTTCCTTCCCTGCTTCTTCCTTCTAGCTTCAATTCCAAATGCACTGCCTGCTCCATAGACTGAGAATTGGGAGTGGGTACTGCCCTTTGGATCTTGGCAGGCAGAAGTAGGGAATATCCTCTTCTTTTGTGATATGGACTGGATGTTCACTGGACCTTCATGAGGCAGATATTTGTAAAGCAGAGAATGCCTGCATTGACTTGAGTCTGGGTGCAAATGTTAGGAGGAAGCTTAACTACAATAGTGACAGGCTGGGAATGGTTAGTTTCATCAATGTCAGATTTGAACAGATGAGTCTTTCATAACCCTGAGTCTTAAGATATCTAATTTGGGGAATGAGTTCCAGCTGAACACTTAGATCTTATGAAAGTTATCCAAAGTGAATTATTAACTATTCTTTCTTTATTACCCTGGTTGCACCTATCACTAGGGATTGTGTAAGGAATATAGTTGATGCAGACGTGGTTTGCTTTACAAATCTATAATTTACGAGGGTTTAATATGCATTAACAGCTAGGTCATGCCTTTCTGTTAATAGTTTTTCTTTCACTCAAGAGAGGAGGAAGTCTTATTTCTGAGTTGTAGGAGTCTTAGTCATTTAAGGAATCCATAGGAGTCAGCACCATTTGGTGCATAGTAGATTTTTGCCTTGGATGTTTTCCATTTGCTCCTCCAGATCTACTCTCACCTTTCCCACTCTTCTTTCTGCCTTGGGAGGCTGACTTGTATGGTTTCCCCTAATAGGTTTCCTTGATTTTTGGCTTCTAGTTAAGGAAGGATCTCTGGGAAGAGATCAAAGGGAGAAAGAACACTGAGGTCAAGGTATTTATTTCCCCAAACTTCCTCCCTGTGTGGTCACTTCAGCCTGACTGGGACCCTCAGCATAAAGTTTCTCTTTCTTAAGGCTGCAAACTCTATATTGTCCTTTAGGGTCCAGTTACCACTCCCTCCCCTCACTCACCCTTCCCCCTGGCTTAGAGGAACCTCTTGATTGTTACTAAGTCTTTGGTTACTGCATTAACCTTTTGCTTACTCTATACCCCCTCCCACACTTTTGTAAAGAGTCCCTTTATAAAAAAAATTTTCCCCAATTATCCTTGTTCAGTGCGTCATCTATTTCCTGTTTGGAATCTGAATGAGTCAGTCTTAAATACAACATTGATTGAATGAGTCAGTGAATTAACGAATTAATGGAGTATTTCATATAGTTTTAAAAATAGTGGTTAAGATCAAGAGCTTCTAAGTTAGATATATCTGGTTTTGAACTCTGGTTCTGATCCTTACTAGACAAGAAATGTGAGGCAAGTTACTTAAATACTTCATTATTAGTGAAATAAGGATAATAATACCTCATTCATTGGATTGTTTTGTTTTGGTTATTTATTTAACTCCTTTCTTTCTTTCTTTCTTTCTTTCTTTCTTTCTTTCTTTCTTTCATGAGTGAATGGCAGAGGGGCAGAGAGGGAAAGAGAGAGAGAGAGAGAGAGAGAGAGAGAGAGAGAGAGAATATTCCAAGGCTCAGTCTCACGAACCTGAGATCAAGGCCTGAGCTGAAATCAAGAGCCAGATGCTTAACCTACTGAGTCACCTAGGTGCCCCATTGGATTGTTTTAAGCATTAGCTGAGATAATAGATGAAAAGCACATATACATATTGCCTAAAACATAGCAGGTACTTAATAAATTAATTCATTAAATAGTTATTCATTGAGTGCCTACTATGTGGCAGGCACTGTACTTTTTCATTTATGATTGAGAATGTAAGGGACACCTGGGTGGCTCAGCAGTTAAGTGTCTGACTCTTGATTTTGGCTCAGGACATAATCTCACAGTTCATGAGGTTGAGCCCCTCATCAGGCTCTGCGCTGACAGTGCCCAGAGCCTGCTTGGGTTTCTCTCTCCCTCTCTGCCCCTCCCCTGCTTGTATGTGTGTGTGCATGCATGTGCTCTCTCAAAATAAGTAAATAAACATTTAAAAAAAGAATGTGAACAAAAACAAATGCAGTCCATTCACTTGTGGTTTTGACTCTGGTAGAAGAAAGAGACCTTAATCTCAGATAATTGTAATGAATATATAATCTCAAACTGAGATAAGTGCTCTGAAAGAAAAGAACATGGAGTCATAACAGTATATAATGGAGGAATATGAAGAAGAAAGAGCAAGCTAGCTAAAAGTCACATTGTGGACAAAGGCCCTGTGGTAGGACTAAGGATGGTGAGGTAAAACAAACAAACAAACAAACAAACAAACAAACAAAAAAGAAAAAACAAAATTTAAGAAGGCCAGTGTGGAGTATGGAGAACATGGAGGTTAAAGATAGACATGTGACTGGAGATATGGATAGGAGCTGGACCAGACAGGACATTGTGATCTGTATCTAGAATTTTGGTCTTTATCCTAAGAGGATTGGGAAGCCATTGCAAGTTTTTCAAAGAGATGGTGTGTGTGTGTGTGTGTGTATGTGTGTGTGTGTGTGTGTGTGTGTGTGTGTTAAATTTGAAAAGCTAATTATTGCCTACAGTATTTGTAAAGTTGGTAAATAGCAAGTCCTTATAAGAGTGTATGATTGGGGTTGGGGAGGAAAAAATATTAGAATTGGGGGAAGAGTGGATGCAGGGTGACACAGTTACTAGGCTTTTACTATAGTCCATTTGAGAGATGATGGTACTCTGGGCTAGAGTGGAAGTCATGGGCATAGACTAGACTCCTAGGCTTCCCTCAGCTTTCACAACTGGATGGATAGCAGTGCCATTCACTGATATAAGGAACTCTGAGGGATATCACAAGCTGGGCTGGCCCAGGGCTGCCCGAGGGGCCTTAGAAGAATCTAGCGAAGATGCCATATAGACAAATATATGGGTTTACAGCTCAGAGGAGCAGTGTGAGCTGGAAATTTACATTTGGTCTACAAATGATCATTGGAGCTGTGGTCTTAGATGAGATGTCTCAGGGAAAGTAGATTGAGAAAGAAGATGGGCTCTGTCTGAGTCTTAAAGAATCCCAAGGTTTGGTGGCTGTATAGAAAAGAGTGAGCATCACGGAAGACAAAGGAGTGAACAAAGAGGTAGGAGGAAAAACAGGACAGCACTGTGACACAGAGGTTAAGAGAACAGTGTGTTTCAAAAGGTTGGAATAGTCAACAATGTCAAGGGCTGCTGACAGGTACAGAAAAGGCACGGAGGATATTGAAAACACTAGATCTGAAACTAGGTTGAATAATTAGTAGGAGATGAGGAAACAGGGGCTGTTGAGTACAGAAAATTCTTTCAAGATCTGTGACTATGAGGGAAGGAGAGATGTGTAAATCAGCATCTGTAGATATATTTCAATAAGTGCTTAAAAACCCATTAGGTATAGTCTCTGCTATTCTGTGTGTGTGTGTGCCCAAGAAATGTAAATTTTTAGCACAAAACTGGTTCTGTCAGCATTTCAGCTTTTACTAATCACAAATTTTATTTGCTCGTTGTGATCTTTACTGTACAAGAAATACTTCCCACCCTCAGTGTCCATATGATTTCAATAAACTATTCTGAGAAAGTGTGGGTGGTCTCCTTTACACAACAGTAGTTGGGAATAGGACACTGGGGTACGATTTCAAATTCAAAACTGAATTTTATGGGACCCCAATCTTTGCTGCCATTTGTCTTTTAAGTAAAAGAAAGTCTTCTAAGGATGTGCCCATTCTTCCCTGACTTCTAGGATGGCATAAAATTTTATGTGTGCCTCTGTTCGTTCTTTCAGTTCCACTTTTCTGCTATATTAAATGGCTACATGGATTGATGATAATAATGAGAAGAACACGTGAAGAGGAACACTAGAGAAATCAATATAATTAAAGCTTCTTTACTTCCATTTAGCATCTTCTTTTTATGCAAGGAATGCCCTTAGCAATATATTCTAATATGTTCCTTTGTTAATCATCTAGTTATCTACTTCTAAAGCAGTTAGTAAGATTCTTAGAATTACTTGAGAAGGCACTTAGTAAATATATCGTAAGATAGTGTATTTACCTGAAATAAATCTAACATAAGATTTAAGACTATTCTTGCCCTTACAAAAAGTGTGTATCATATGCACAGTGTGCAATATATAATAATAGTTTAACTTGATGATGTATTATTTGGAGTTATTCTCGTTTCTCCAAAAGGCACCACAAAT